TTGGCAAGCCTCACAGCTGTGTACAGTGTTGGCATCCATTCCTTGCCCAACACACCAGCAACTGCTCCACAGCCAAATCCCCTGTTAAGTCCTTCACCACACTGTTTATGTCGCCTGAAAGGCCTCCAGAACATATTTGTGTATCTAGTCTTTGTCAGCCCAGAACTAGGAGCCCGATCATATTGCTTAGGACAAATGTTGCTCCTAACATGGGTTATTTCTTCTCATAGTTCATCAACTTATTTATCCATAACAACTCTTCTCCGGCTGTCACTGTCTAGAGATGTTTGGAGAGCTGGTCTTCAGTGATCACTTCTGCACCAGTGGTTAAAGATGCTAGCTAAGAACTACATCTTTGTGTTTTTTAAAAAGGACTTTAGAGATGCAGAATTGTCATTTCGTGAAGGCTTCTTTATGACTGATTCATCTCTTGGTTGCAAATGACATTGCAGATGAAAGCCTGAATTCCTACTGAAATGATCTGCATACCTAGGGCCTTGGGAGCATCTTTTACTCACTGTTACATTCCTGCATGTCACACAAAGCTTCCAGGATGGGTGGTCAGTGCCCTGACGTTGAATCCAACTGACTAAAAAATTGTGGCTCATTTTGTTTATGCTGTGGATGGAAATCTGCTAATCATGTGGCTCAAGTTCAGGGGAACATTCTTGGATTTCAAGGAACCTGGGTAGTGAGATAAACAGTAGGTAGGAAGCTTGGGAGAGTTTTGCCTTGAGTTTCCAAATCTAAGGAAAATCTTTAATCAACCTATCTGCTTTGCCTTTGCGCTGTGGATCCTACTCAATATTTACCCCTCAAGCGGACACTTGGTTAAAAAAAAGACAAGCAACAGGGACTGTGTATTGGGTTGGCTAAAAAGTTCACGCAGGTTTTCCGCACCATCTTACAGAAACTTCTGAGCAAGCTTTTTTGCCGACGCATGCAGAGGAAACCGGGGTACCTCTTTTACTCTCTTTACGGCGGAGCGTTTGCCCTTTGAACACACCTCTGCCGTTGTCTTCTGGCTGAAATCTGCGTCAAGCTGCCCTGTTTGGTCAAGTGTGTGATGACCGCAGGAGGAGGCGCAGTTGCGCAGTGGAGGACGCGCGGTGCCTCCGCTGCGGGTCGGGCTCCCTTCATCAGCCCGAGGGGGAAGCGTCTCCCCGCGCCTCCCTGCAGCTGGGCCTCGTTCTTCAGCGGTGAAAGCTCCGGCAACCGACCGCAGCCTCTCCAGGAAGAGGACCTGCCACTTTAAATTTTCAGCAGGCAACTGGCATTTTATTATTTACGTAGTTCATGTCATTATGTTGGATAATATAACAAATGATGCAATCAGATCCACAGGAAATTTAAAGCGGTGTACACCTGTTCTCACCTGGGAAAGGAGCGGAGCTCATATACAACCTCCCAGCTGAAAGCCAGCAGCAGGCAACGGCTTTGCCCGGAGCCCTGCTCCCAGACTGACGGATAGACCAAGCTGGAGGACGTGAAATAAAATCCCTTTCACCTTCTTGGATGAGCTTCAGACCTGGCTTTTTTTATAAAATGGCCTTTCCTCTCATTGGAAATAAGCAAAATTGGGGGCAGGAAAATTGGTCTCCTAAACTGCCACTGAGGCAGAAAGGTGAAAATCAGGTGTGGATCACAAGTCTTTCTTTCTGAGCTCCTGGCTGAATATGACAGCTGGCCCTAGAGACAGACCTGCTGGTCAATAATGCTCTTACTTCTGTTCGGAGATTGTATGCGGAGGAAATGAGATGGTGTTTGCTGCTCTGAATGAGCCTTGGGAGTATATTAATATTTCTCAAAAGAAATCACTCATGGGTCGTGTCAAAGGAGCCGTGCTCTACCCATGACCTCCTTTTAACCTCCTTGAGAAACCTGAAATTATTCAAAGAAAAAAAATGACAAATATATAAACCAGTCTAGTGTACGGCTGTTCTTTGTGAGTCACGTTGATGTTGAGATAGTGTCGGGATGGGTGGGGTACGGGAACACTGACTCCCGAGTTCACAGCAGGTTCCTGAAGGCGGGTAACATTCAGGCAAAACCTCTGTTTTTTTGTCAAGCTTTTGTCCCAAATCCTAATGGAGTCTTCTACCTAGCCAAGTTTACCAAGGAGAGCTGCCAGATAAAATATAGGATTCCCAGCTAAATTTAAATTTTAGATAAACAGATCAGCTTTTAAGGTAAGCGTGTCCCAAATATTGCATGCTAGAGATATAAAATATAATTCATACCCCCCAAAACATCCAGTTCAGTGAGAAAAGACATACAGACTTATAATATAATGGAATATTAACTAAACCACAACATACTAAATATTATACATATTAAATATTTTATACCAAAATAATGCATGTGTGTGTGCATGCCAAGTTGCTTCTGTCATGTCCGACTCTGTGCGACCCCATGGACTGTAGCCTGCCAGGTTCCTCTGTCCATGGGGTTCTCCAGGAAAGAATATGGAGTGGGTTGCCATGCCCTCCTCCAGGGAATCTTCCCAATCTTCCCAACCTCCAGGGATCGAACCCGTGTCTCTTATGTCTCCTGCATTGGCAGGTAGGTTCTTTACCACTAGCACCACCTGGGAAACCCAATGCATACAATATACTATAAAGTAATCCCAAATGTTGCATAGGATATATTTACACTAAAGATTATTTATTGTTTACCCAAAATTCAAATGTAACCAGGGCATTGGGTGTTTCTGTTGGTTTGGTTTGTTTTCTGCTAAATCTGGCAACTCTACTACGAAGAAAAGGGCTCCTGGTACCTGGGCTGTCTGTCCGCCTAAGGTGAGTCCACTGCTTGTTCGCTTTCGTCTGGACGCACATCTCAATCACATGCGTCAGTCCCAGCTTATTTCCCAGCAAAAGTGAAGTCGCTCAGTCGTGTCTGACTCTTTGTGACCCCATGGACTGTAGCCTACCAGGGTCCCCCATTCATGGGATTTTCCAGGTAGAATACTGGAGTGGGTTGCCATTTCCTTCTCCAGGCGATCTTCCTGACCCAGGGATTGAACCTGGGCCTCCTGCGTTGTAGGCAGACGCTTTACCTTCTGAGCCACCTGGGAAGCCCGTGTCCCAGCAAAGGACACCACCACAGGGAAGTGGAGAAAAGTTCTTTCCTGGAAGTCTACAGTGGATGTACCGCATTCCCTCGGTCCAGGCTTCCCCAGGAAGCTGGCCCAGCTCTTCCGTCAGGTCGACCATGTATGAAAAGAGAGGCCAGGAAGGGCCAGATTGATTCCGGCCCCCCGAGCTCCAGGACTTCCATCTGTACCCTCAGGTCTCCTCCACCGAGCACTGTGAGCCAGCACCTGACCTTGGGCATGGCCCATGGACAGCAGCACCACGGGCATCCTCGGGATGGAGATCGTTTCCTCTGAAGCACAGGGGGCCTGTTTTGGGGCCTCTGCCAATTCGCACAGAAGCGTGGTATGCAAGTTAAACTGATGTGTTCACAAGAAGTTTATAGCATGCATGATATTTGTTATCCTTTACTTTCCACAATAGATACATGTGAAACGCCAGAGCCACAGAAAAAGCAGGGTCAGTCCTCACTTTCCTATTGTCCGGTCACCCACCTGTGATAGAGCACGTCTTCTGGAGAGCTATCCAGCTGAGCATCGGACATGCTTCCACCTCTAGGAGTGGTTTTGGTTCTTCATGATCATCCTTATGAGAATCTTCATCCACTTGACAATGCCTACTTCAAAGAAGATTAATTAACATCCATGGCTCTGACTTTCAAATGTGTATGTATTAGAACCATCTTGGGAGGTGGTTTCAAAACACAGGTTTGAATTTCTTTTTTTTTTTTAAACTTAGCTACATGAAGTGGTACTGTTTTTCATCTCCATTAAATTTCTTAAAATTTTATATGGGGACATAGTTGATGAACAAGTTGTTAGTTTCAGGTGAATTTCTGATTTAGTAGGTCTAGTCCTGAGGTGAAGCGTGAGGACTTGGGTTTGTAATATGAGCCCAGATGATGCTGACTCTGCTGGCTCACAAGCTACACGTGGAACTACTGGGCGACAAATTAATCGTCCTTATTGTCTTCTCACAGACATGAGACCAGTATCCTATTAAAGTGACCATCAGGCACCTTCAAATCAATTTCAGAAAACAAACACATATGTCTGTATGTGTGTATACATGCACACATGTGATATATATATGTATGTCTATAAATTACTTTGAAGGGCAATTATCAACACTGTGGTTCTTACATATCTTACACCTCTCTGCTCTTGGAGAATTTTTTTTCTACATCTGAAAATATATTTTCCTTCCACCCCAAACCGCTATGTACATAATATTAATCCTTAAAGATAACACCTTTGCAAATAAATTAACTTGTAGTTATAAACTGCTAATTAAAAATTATCTTCTTTAGTTTAATAAGTAATACATATTTTAACAAAAAATTTAAAATAAAGCACCTTCCAAAGAAAGTGTACAAGTTACCTGGAATTGCATTGTCCAGAGAACCCCTATAAATGTTATATTATAGATCTTTCCTATCTTTTTTGTTTCCCCTTCTTTTTGCTATTTTATGAAATTGGAACCACATTGTATATACTGCTTTGTAATTTTTTTTTAACCAAATGATAGACTGTGGGCATTTTCCTGTGACATTAAATGTATCATCACATTTAAATGTGTTGAATGTGACAGCATTCAACAATATGATTTTTGAAGAATACAAAGTGTTGTTTTACAGACATATGCCATCATTTTTTTGTTTATTCCCTGTTGCTGGACATTCAAAGTATTCCCTTATGTATATAGGGCCAAGAGAAATTTTCAGGTTAAAATATCATCTTGGATGGTAACCACAGTAAAACATCATCTGATTTTCAATGAAAATAACTGTAAAGATGAGAAAACAATGGAAACTCACAGCAATTCTAAAAACTTTGATTATGAACAATTTAATGCAAGTCTCTGAAAGGACTCAGTGCTAATCATAAGACAAAAAGACTCAGCAAATCAAAACTATTTGTTTTCATTTCATGAAGTGGCTAAGCTTCACGCCTATGGAAGAGAACCCCTTGGGAGAGGATACAGTCTGTTCTCCCGCGGCCTGTCCCCTGCTCAGAACCAGGGCCTTTACCAAGCAGAGAGTGAGCAGCTGCCCTCTGCAGTGGAGCTGTTGCTTCTGAGGGATGTCCATTCTTTGCCCTCCACACCATGCATTCTACACCGCTACACAGACAGCTCTACGCGAAACGAAAGCAGATAGAACAAACACTGTGCTGACGGTAATGCCTCCCACCCCGGAGAGGATGTAGCCCCCAGAACAAAGTGTCGGTCAGGAACACGAGATAATGCTGGGAACGTGTGTCCGTGAGCATGTATGTATGCTTCAGGATTTCGCCTGTTGACAGCACGGTAAATCTAGACAGTAGCAATAGTAAATACCATCTCGGTAAGGCAGAGATACAAGAGGTGGGTGCCTTCTAGAGGTAGCTGCTGAACTTGAAGTAAACTCATCAACTTGCCTCCAGTTGTCATGATAAGTAAAAAAATGTCACATTTATGCAAGTGGACAGACCCAAGGGAAGCCAATCACACATCTTGTTTGTTGACATGTGCCAAGGTTATAACAAAAGTGAAAAGAAAGCAGCATGAAGCCTATGAGGAAATAAAACCAATATGGAAGGTTCAGAGGAGGAGTGTAATTATGAAAATTATCAACTGCTGGTTCAGAAAAAAAATTCCATGACATTTTGGCATCTCCAATTAATACAAGGAAAAATTCCTTCAATGAGGAGGAGCTAAGGAAGAAAGCCAAGAAGCTGTCATGGAAAGGCAACAATAGGAGCTAGAAGTAGGTGTGGCTGGGTGTGGAGGGACTGCAGCTAAATGATGAACGTAATGTAGTTGTAACCTGCGATCTGGGAGCCTTTGCGGCAGTGGTTGCATGTGGACAAATGCCTTCTCAAACAACAAAATACGAAGAAACTATAGGTGACTAAAAATAACTGCACGCATGGGCAGTTGGGGCAAAATGCGGACAATAAGATATAAAAAGACCAAAAAGCCTACCTGCCACTTCTGAAGAGCTGAGAGCAAAAGAGAGTGTCAGGACCAAAAGCAGGGTACAGTGCATGTCGCCGTATTCAACACCACCCACGGGGTGAGGAAACCACCCAGGCCGCCCCCCTGCCCAACCCCGGGCCTGCCCCTTTTCTCACCCCTTTCAGGGAACCAAGCTGCCCCCCACCCCACCCCACCCACCCCTGCCGCAGGAGCTAGCGAGCAAGAAAGCACACCCACTCCTGCTGCAGCAGGGATCCCAGTAAAGCCTCGCCTGAATTTCCTGTCTGGCCCCCGATCAATGTCTGTTTGATTGATTAAGGAGGCCAAGAACGCTGGTCTGTAACAAGAGCATGTTTAAGATGCTCTTGGAGCTCAATGGGAGCAGAAAGAATGATGATGGCGAGGATGTATTGATGATGATGGCGGTGGGGTGGTGCTGGCGGTGATGATGAAGAAAGAAGACATTAAATCAGGCCCACTGAGAAAATGAAACAGTGGTGGTCATCAAGTAAAATAAGAGTGTGATGATCGCTTCTCGGCCTTTTGGCTGAGATCAAGTGTAAAATAAGAGTGTGACATGTTCTCATGAATGTACTCTGGGGTGGTTATGCTACATGGAACATCTACCACAGTGCTTTGCTCATAGGAGTCACTGGAAAATAGCATTAAAGTCTACTTCACTGGGGGAGATACCTCACTAACAGTCATTGAAATGAGATGGAGAAGAGGAGATACATGAAATCCTGATGTCAGAAGGCCTGGATTCAAATTTTATTGCTGTAGCTGCATGACCTTAGGCAGCTCACTGAACCTTAGGTGTGAAATTGAGGGGACCAAGGGGAGTGGGAAACCTAACCAAACAACTGATAAAACAGGAAAACAGACTTGGACCGGGAAGATAGAAATCCTGCGTCTGGAGCTGACTCACTGCACGTGTGTTCTCGGTAAGGTCATCCACGTCCTGATTTCCTCATCTCTAAACTTAGCCTGATGAAATCCAAGGCACAGAGCTGTTAGGGTTACATCAGAACGTCTGCATGCTGATGCCTGGCATCTTGCGGGCAGGTACTAAATGCTGTGTGTTTTTTTTTTATTTTTATTTTATACTGGAGCAGAGTTGATTGACAATGTTGTGCTGGTTTCACCTGAAACCAGCAGAGCGACTCACTTGCACATAAATGTGTTTGTTTTTAAATGAAAAAAGCAATCCAACCATATACTAAAAATGACGCACATCAAAGCCCGACAAAAAGGGTGCCGTTAAACCCTAAAGTGCGTGTGAAATATATTTAATGAGTGTCCAGGTGGTGCTAGTGGTAAAGAACCCTCCTGCCAATGCAGGAAACACAAGAGATGCGGGTTTGATCCCTGGGTCAGGAAGATCCCTTGGAGAAGGACATGACAACCCACTCTAGTATTCTTGCCTGGAGAATATCCATGGCCTGAGGAGTCTGACGGGCTGCCATCCATAGGGTCACACAGAGTCAGACACCACTGAAGTGACTTAGCGCGCACGCACACAAGTCAAGGGAAACGATGGTGAAGGGCTAACATCAGACAAAGGAGAACTTGGTGCAACAGAAAAAAAGAGTTACTTGTCTTGAAAGGTCATTTCATATTAATAATAAGTATATTTAACAAAGAAAGTATAAAAATCATAAACTGCCTGTACCAGACAAAATCACAGTTGCACAAAGGAAGTGGGCATTCTTGTAACTAAAGTGGGATTACAGGTATATTAAGTGAAAGTTTTAAAACTTTTCCCTAAGCCTTGCCAGAAAGAAGGGGTAGAAAGTGAGAAAAAGAATAGTATAATGTTGGACACCAAAATCATAAATAATGAAGGAAACGATTAGCAGTTTTTACTAATTTTTCAATTTAAGTTTTAATGAAAAAAATATACAATAAACAACAACTAGGAAAGAAGTTGGGGACATATTTGACAAAAGGATAATACTCCTATAAATTTGAATTTAAATAAGAACATACGAAATGATGAAAAGAGATAAACAGGAAAAATTATATACTGATAAAGACAGGAAGCAGACATTACAATTATCAAGCAATTCATTGAAACATTTTTGTTGAAGAAAATGAAAACATAAGAGTTCAGAGACTAGGCACAAAATGGAGAAATGTTACTGCTGAAGGTGGAACCCAGTTACCGAGTCTAGGCTCTGGGGAACAGGGGCCGTGCTAGAAAAAGCTGAGGAAGGTCTTCTAAAGCCAAAACATCGCACCTACCTGTGGTCCACATTAAGCAAGAAGTGTCCTGGAGTGTTGTTGGTTAGCTGGTGATGGGCTGGACTTGGTTAACCAAGCACAGGGTGACTGCAAGCACCTTTGGATTATGACATCAGCTGCTCTGCTTCATATGTGAGGCGTCCAAATGGAATCCCTACTTCCCAAGAGGGGGGTGACCAGGTCAGGTTGTCAATTTCATATTGGTAATCTTTTTTTACAATGAGCAGCTATATTTTTATAATCAGAAACAATAATAAATACACAGTTGAATTTTGAACAACCTGGGAGTTAGGGGTGTTGCCTCTCTGAGCAGCAGAAAAACCAAGCATTGATATAACTTTACAGTTGGCCCTCCATATCCTGGGTTCTGCATCTGTGGATTCAACCAACCAGATTGTGTAGTACTGTAGTGTTTGTCCACTGAAAAAAATTCCCATAAAAGTATATTCATGCAATTCAAACTCCCCCAGTATTGGTCAACTGTACTTCTATTTTGAAAACAAAAAGTAAATTTTGAATCAAACTGAGTCATGAAATCATGAAGCAGCTCACTACTTTCAAGAAAAAATATAATGTGAAAGAAATATTAAAAAAAATTTTTAAACTATCTCATATTTCCTGATTTTGAGGGATGGGATTTAAGAAAGTGTAAGTTAAGAATTGATGCTTTTGAACTGTGGTGTTGGAGAAGACTCTTGAGAGTCCCTTGGACTGCAAGGATATCAAACAAGCCCATTCTAAAGGAAATCAGTCCTGAATGTTCATTGGAAGAACTAAGGTTGAAGCTGAAACTCCAGTACTTTGGCCACCTGATGTGAAAAACTGACTCACTGGAGAAGACCCTGATGCTGGGAAAGATTGAGGGCAGGAGAAGAAGGGGACGACAGAGGATGAGCTGGTTGGATGGCATCACTGACTCAATGGACATGAGTTTGAGTAAACTCCGGGAGTTGGTGATGGACAGGGAGGCCTGGCGTGCTGCGGTTCACGGGGTCACAAAGAGTCGGACACGACTGAACTGAAGTTAAGAAATCGACTCAATGGACATGAGTTTGAGCAAACTCCAGGAGACAGTGAAGGACAGGGAAGCCTGGCGTGCTGCAGTCCATGGGGTCGCGAAGAGTCAGACAGGACTCAGAGACTGAACAACAGCGAAGTTAATGAAAAGGCTGCAGTGCTCAACGGGAGGCCCTTCTGTAATGCACATGAAATATTCCAAGGCTGTCACAGCAAGGCAGGAAGGGCCATCATATCTTGGGACCTTTCAGTGTCCTCTGACCTGACAGACCGCTGCAGAACAGGGAATCAATTCCTAGGAGCTACTGACAGAGTTGAGATCGAGTGGGACCAGGTCAGCATTACTAGGTGGGCATCCAAGGAGGTAAGCTGATTAACCCAAAGAGCTTCTTTCTAAAGGCAAGCTGCAAGCTCATTGAAAAGCCAAAACCTCAGAACCTGAAACACATGCTCTCAAGGGAATCCAAGCCAGTGAAACTGGTTTTCCATGGAAGGTTTCAACACACATAAAACATGTGAGGTACACTGCATTACTGTACAAAGTATGTTCTGTTCTCCCCACCCCCATCTCAGGACGGTTACACTCAGATCCTCACGGTTCCGTAACCGAGAGGCACGTCAAGAGAACTTCTCAGTCTCCAAGGGGAACCAGTTCCCTAAGGTATGTATATGTATGCGCGTGTGTGGGTTTATGTATATATATATATATGGGCTTCCCTCGTGGCTCAGTGGTAAAGAATCTGCCTTCAGTGCAGGAGGCACTGGATACACGAGTTCCGTCCCTGGGTGGGGAGGATCGCCTGGAGGAGGGCACAGCAACCCCCTCCAGTACTCTTGCCTGGAGAATCCCGTGGACTAGGGAGCCTGGTGGGCTACAGTCCCTGGGGTTGCAAAGAGTCAGACATGACTGAATAACTTAGCATGGCTAAGTCGTTTACTTACAATATATATACATAGTATATATAAATATAATTGTATATATATAATAATTATATATATAAATATATATATAGCCAATGGGGAAAATGGAAAGGAAAGCATGTCCCAGAAGCAGAACCAACAGCCATGGAGAACACTGGACTGGGAAGAACCAGGACCTACTCAAGGAATATTTTCCACTGCCAAGGATCAGGGTCCTGGCTAGCATGTCCAGTGGGCTTTCACCATTGTTACAGGTGGACCAGTAGTGGCTGTGGACTTACCACTCATTCCTTTCCAAAAGCCTGTGTTTGTTGTGGGGTATCCTGTCACTGATTCCTTCTTAGTTCATGCATGTCCAGATCTAAAGGAGCCACATGTGGATATGGTGTAGTGAAATTCACACAGCCGTGTCTGACTCTCTGCAACCCCACAGACTGGAGCCTGCCAGGCTCCTCTGTCCACGGAATTCTTCAGGCCAGAATGCTGGAGTGGAAAGCTGCTCTCTTTTCCAGAGGATCTTCCCAACCCAGGGATCGAACCCAGGGATGGAACCCAGGTCTCCCACATTACAGGTGGATTCTCTACCCTCTGAGCCACCAGGGAAGTGAAACTTTTCCAAGAATTCTGGGGTTGTGAGTCTGATACTTTGGAAAAGACTTACATGTTGTCTCCTTTAAGGATCACACAGTATATTTTGCATGCACAATGGGAAAAAGGAAACATTTGTGACCAAGATGGAAGTGAGTGGTAAGACTGTATTATTCAAAGTATTTGCTGTCCTTCCCCATGAATTACACATCCATATGCTATCGAAGTCAGTTTTTGTCATGATACAGCAGAAGACTTATGTGCCACCACTGAACAGACCTTCTAGGAACACTGCACAGTTTCCTTCACGCTCTTTCCTGTGACATGAGCCGTCCCCATGAGGTCTGCACCACCACCCTGGAGATGGGAGTCAGGGCAGAGACCTGCCGCCAAACCATGATGCACGTGTGAGATAATTTCAAAGTAAATCTGTCATCTTAAAGCAATTTGGTTTTTTGGTCATTTGTTACCTCAACATACCTTAACCTAAAATGACAGACACAGGATACACATTATCTGAATAAAGTGAATATTATCTGATTAAAGACATTTAGGGTCTCAGGAAACTTCCCTCGTCCCTTCATTAAACAGCTGCTTGTCTTTCTTAAATGCCTTCTTTTTAAAAAATGGATAAATGTGAATTTCCTCTGAGGACACCTTTAACTGCAATGCACAGTCACAAACACACAGTGCTATAACCACTACTTCTAAGGATTTTTGTAATTTTACTTTTTTTCTCCTTGGCTCAAAGGTGTTTTTTTTTTTTTTTAATTTTTCAGTAACTGAGTCTTTAAATTTTAACTTGAAGTCCTAACTTCTGTTTTCTCTGCATTGAGATTCAGAGCTTGTATGAATTTAGCCTTCCTCAGTGATCAGTGCAAAGAAATAGAGGAAAACAGTAGAATATGAAAGACTAGAGATCTCTTCAAGAAAATTAGAGATACCAAGGGAACATTTCATCCAAAGATGGGCTCAATAAAGGACAGAAATGGTATGGACCTAACAGAAGCAGAAGATATTAAGAAAAGGTGGCAAGAATACACAGAAGAACTGTACAAAAAAGATCTTCACGACCCAGATAATCATGATAGTGTGATCACTCACTTAGAGCCAGACATCCTGGAATGTGAAGTCAAGTGAGCCTTAGGAAGCATCACTATGAACAAAGCTAGTGGAGGTGATGGAATTCCAGTTGAGCTCTTTCAAATCCTGAAAGATGATGCTGTGAAAGTGGTGCACTCAATATGCCATCAAATTTGGAAAACGCAGCTGTGGCCACAGGACTGGAAAAGGTCAGTTTTCATTTCAATCCCAAAGAAAGGCAATGCCAAAGAATGCTCAAACTACTGCACAATTGTACTCATTTCACACTAGTAAAGTAATGCTCAAAATTCTCCAAGCCAGGCTTCAACAGTACGTGAATCGTGAACTTCCAGATGTTCAAGCTGGATTTAGAAAAGGCAGAGGAGCCAGAATCAAATTGCCAACATCTGTTGGATCATCAAAAAATCAAGAGAGTTCCAGAAAAACTGCTATTTCTGCTTTATTGACTACGCCAAAGCCTTTGACTGTGTGGATCATGACAAACTGTAGAAAATTCTTCAAGAGATGGGAATATCAGACCACCTGACCTGCCTCCTGAGAAACCTGTATGCAGGTCAGGAGACAACAGTTAAAACTGGCCATGGAACAACAGACTATTTCCAAATCAGGAAAGGAATATGTCAAGGCTGTATATTGTCACCCTGCTTATTTAACTTATATGTAGAGTACATCAAGAGAAATGCTGGGCGGGTGAACCACAAGCTGGAATCAAGATTTCTGGGAGAAATATCAATAACCTCAGATATGCAGATAACACCACCCTTATGGCATAAAGCAAAGAAGAACTAAAGAGCCTCTTGATGAAAGTGAAAGAGGAGAGTGAAAAAGTTGGCTTAAAGCTCAACATTCAGAAAACTAAGATCATGGCATC